ACGCAAGAAAATTTCTCCCGCATTTATAAAAAGTGGAAGAAAATTTTATTATTTCTCCCATTTTTTTCTCTTCTCGGTTACAATTTTTTTTTAGTTCATTTTTCTTTCGCTTCTTTTCTGAATTAAATCGAATAGAAAGTTAAACTTCTTTTTATTTAAAATCAAAGGGAAAAATTATTCTTTGCAAAAATTTATTTACTAATTTTTTTTTAAAGAAAAAATAAGGAGTAGAAAAAACGAATACATTTAAAACACTAAAAGTCTAAAAATAGTTTTTTATTATTTTAATACAGTGTAGGAAAAATTTTTTGCCTCTAAACAGTTTTATATACGATAAGAATAAGAATATACTGATAAATTTACTTCTCGTCGCGGTAAATTGAAAGTTAATGTCAATAAAATGTAAATTTATCACAAAATGAAAAAAAATGGATATTAACTGATAATGATCCCATTTATCAGGATGATAATCATGTTTCGATTCGTCCTTGAGACCATAATGGAATCATAAAAAAACGGGAGTTATGATCGATTTTGAATCGTAAAATAAAAAATTTATTACATTCTAACTTTAAAAATAGAGATAACTTTTTTCATGCGCATTCGCAATTTTTTTTCCCCTCAATCAATTTTTATTTTCTGGCGCAAAATCTATTTTTAATATTCTGTTTTTATTTACTTTAATAATTTTATATTTACTCTAAATTTTCTTTTTCTATTCCTTGGTACTTTATTATTATAACAAACAATTTTTTTTTTTTCATTCCTTCTCTTATTAAAATTAAAACAAGAAAACAGAAAAATAAAAAAAAATGCTCTTCATTATTCAAAACAATTTTCTCATTCTACATTGTATAACAAATGTTGGAAGTAATTAACAATTAAGTTAATTGAGACGGCTGTAATTTGCAAATTTAATGAGCCTTATACTAGAGATATAGATCGCCTTGTAAATCTAATAATCCTGCCATCAGTTTGAAATTAATATAAAAAATTTATTTAATTGCTACAATGGAAAAAAAATTTATTTGATTCAAATAATCGATTATTTGTTTTTATCAATTAACTATTTTCTTGAATCAAATAAATTTTTTGTTCTGTTGCATTTTTCAAGAATTTATTTTTCTTGACAAACATTTTTGTTAGTAAAAAATTGAAATTAAAAAATTAAATTATAAAAAAATTTAAATAAAGTTAAAATTGAATTATTAAAAACTTAAAATTAAATTAGTATTAAAAAATTAAAAATTACTAACTTTAATTAAGTTAGTAGTAAATTTTTTCAATTAAAAATTATAGAATCGATGAAAGAGAAAAAATTTCAAGAAACTAAGAAATATAAAGAATACGGATTTTTTTTCAAAACGAGCGTTTAGTTCTAGAATTTTACAAAGAGAGAAAGAGAGTGAGAGAGAGAGAGAGAGAGAGATGGGTAGGTCGGAGTCTGGAATGCGGGCGGAGTGAGTCTGTGATTGGGCTCATGGTCGATCTACTATGCTCTCGCTCTATCGTCTGCTTCCACACTTGGAATACATAAATATATATGTGTGCTACGTTCCATTGTTTCTACGAACTCGATTTGATAGAATTCGCCATTCTGTGATTTGCCCAAGCGATAAGATTTTTAAATTCGAGTGAGTCTGGACCTTATATTTGCTATTAATCTCTCAGGAAACCAATCGCATTGCAAATTTTGTTGAAAATAAAATTTAGGAAATTATTTTCTCGTATAAAAACTTAAGAAAATTATTTCCTCACATATAAAAAGTAAAAGGATTGAAATTATTTTCTCTTGAGAATCGATAAATATATAAATTAAATAAAAAAATATTTAAGCGAAAAAATAAAGAAATCATTTTTTAAGCGAAAAAATAGAGAGCGAAAATCGGTGTTGTAACTCTCCGCATATACAATGGGAGAGAGAAGGATAGACTGTTTTTGTCCCCACTTCGACGCGAAGGAAGAGGAGCGCATGCGCCGTGAGCAATGAGAGCAAGAGAGATGTTGCGGTTTTTCTCTCTCACTCTCATTGACCCTCCTTCGCGCTTGCGCTTCTCAAACTAAATTCCCCCGCGACGCTGTGCCTAAAAATTACAAAATATATTTTTATACTTAAAATTCATATTTTTTATCTTTTTCCTTTAATTTTTATATATTTTACTAGCGAAATAAGAAGCAAATATCAAAGAAAAAGAACTTATGCTTTATCTACAATTTAACGCAGGTACAAACAAAGTTTTTTTTGTAACAAAAGATGAAAATTAATATAGAAGGAAATATGCGGCAAGTGGAAAATGATTATTCAAAAAAATATTCTACTTCTCAGAATATTTTGTTAAGAAAAGTAGAATTACATAAATGTTATGTATTTAAATAAACACAATGAAAAACAATTTCTTTGATTCGAGTAGCCGATTTCTTGTCTATTATTGAATAAGTGTTTACTTGAATAAAATAAATTTATTAAATTGAATCAAATAAATATTTACTCGAATAAAATAAATTTTATTTAAGTTCAATTAAATGGTATTTGCTTAAAATACTGAAATTATTGATTCAAATACAATTTACTTCATTTAAATAAAATTCATTTGATTCAAATATTTACTTGAATCAAATAAATATTTAATTTAATCAAATATATTTTACATAAGTGAATTAAATAGTAGTTGCCGCAAATACTGAAATTATTGATTCAAATACAATTTGACTTACATAAAATTTATTAGATTCAAATATTTACATGAATCAAATTAATATTTAATTTAATTGCATCAAATAAATATTTGCTTGAATCAAATAAATATTTACTCGAATCAAAAAAATTTTAATTAAGTCAATTAAATGGCATTTGCTTCAAATATTGAAATTACTGATTCAAATATTTACTTGAATCGAATAGATATTCACTTGAATCAAATAAATTTGACTTGAGTAAATTAAATCGTATTTGCTTCAAATACTGAAATCATTGATTCAAAAACAATTTATTTGACTTAAATAGCATTTATTTGATTCAAATATTTACTTGAATCAAATAAATATTTAATTTAATCAAATAAATTTTAGTTAAGTCATTTAAATATATTTGCTCCAAATACTGAAATCATTAATTCAAAAACAATTTATTTGATTCAAATATTTACTTGAATCAAATAAATTTGACTTAAGTCAATTAATTCGTATTTGCTTCAAATACTGAAATCATTAATTCAAAAACAATTTATATGACTTAAATAGCATTTATTTGATTCAAATTTTTACTTGAATCAAATAAATTTTACTTAAGTCAATTCAACGGTATTTGCTCTAAATACTGAAATTGTTGATTCAAATACAATTTACTTGACTTAAATAATATTTATTTGATTCAAATATTTACTTGAATCAAATAAATTTGACTTAAGTCAATTAATTCGTATTTGCTTTAAATACTGAAATCATTAATTCAAAAACAATTTATTTGACTTAAATAGCATTTATTTGATTCAAATATTTACTTGAATCAAATAAATATTTAATTTAATTAAATAAATTTTAGTTAAGTCATTTAAATATATTTGATCCAAATACTGAAATCATTAACTCAAAAACAATTTATTTCATTTAAATAAAATTTAGTTGACTTAAAAAATTATTTATTTGATAATAGACTGAAAATTGATTATTTGAGTCAAATGAATTTTTCTACTTAATTACATAAAATGAAGTAAAAATGTTAAAATTAAAAAAAAATAACATTTTCCCTCCTCCTAAATTGAAAATTATTTTGAACAAAAGACCGCTGGAGGGGTTGAAATTATAATGGAGTCGGTTGGAGCATATTGCGCATGTCCTTCATCTCAGTGTACCGACAACCCTGAACTGAATGGCACCCTCCATAAAATATATAACAGAACCGGCCATGACAAAGACCCCAACTTTCTCCTAACGGCAAATTTTCCTTGAAAAATTTTTACCACTTGTTCCGCGTACACGAAAAGAGAAATATTTCCGAAAATCTGGAAAAATAATTTTTTTCAGCATACAAAAATATTTTTGGTTAAGTAAATATTATTTTTCAGAAAAAAAATATTTCTTTGTAAAATAATTCTTACACTGGAAAAGAAAATTATTTGGTCCAAATAATCAATTACTTGGGTTATTATCAAATAAATATTTGCTTGAATCAATTAAATATTTGCTTGAATTAAATAAATATTTTCTTGAATCAAATAAATATTTTCTTGAATCAAATAAATTTTAATTAGGTCAAATAAATTTTATTTGAATCAATAATTTCAGTATTTGAAGAAAATACGATTTAATTGACTTAATGAAAATTTATTTGATTCAAGTAAATATTTATTTAATTCAAGTAAGTATTTATTTAATTCAAGTAAGTATTTATCTGATTCAAGTAAATATTTATTTGATTCAAGTAAATATTTGAATCAAATAATGTTTATTTAAATCAATTAAATTGTATTCGAACCAATAATTTTAGTATTTGACGCAAATATGAATTGAAACATTTAATTGACTCAAATAAAAATTCTTTGATTCAAGTAAATATTTAATTGATAGTCAAGTAATTGGCTATTTGAATCAAATACATTTTTTTAGTGTATCGGAATTTTTAATATTCAAAACATTAAAATTAATTAATTTTTGGATATTTATTTTTGTGAACAAACATGAAAAATGTTTTGTTTACTTCTAAACTAGAATTTTTCAAAAATTATAAAAATAGTAAAAGAAGAATAAGAAGAAGAAAGAAACAAGAAATCACTGTTAAGAATCAGAACTCGTTCTTGTATTTTGCTTTGAAATCGATCGGCGTCATGAAACCACCCTCTCAACCCCCTTAAACATTTGGGTCCTCATCAACTGGCGCCATCACTGGGTGTACTCCAGTGACACTTTTTTTTAAGTGTAACACAAACTTTCTAGCAGTGAAAAAATTTTTTCTATTTTTAAACAAAAAAAAAATCACTTTTCAATCACTGTTGACAACTTACCCCATGAAAAAAATTCCACTGCAACTAATGTATTCAAATATAATTATCGAAAAATAGTTTCGTGATTTTTTTTTTCCTTCTAAATTAAGCAACACGAATTGTGAAGAATTTAATTACAAAATTTTTTTTTTTTTCAATAAGTTAAAAAGAACGTCTGAAAGGAACTATATCCCGATTCGAATGAGACCTGTACATCGAGTTGTCTGCGCCCCGAAACTCGTGTGAGTATCTGAGTCTGCGTCGAGAGCGAGCGCTGAAAAGTAACCGTAGGGCAAGTCTGGGCGTCGCCATTTCGAATATTAAAAGTTGAGGGATGTTGCGGCAAGAGAGAAGAGGGGAGGGGGGGGGTGAATTTTTCTCTCTCGCTCACTCCTATATACCGAGCAGCAGCTTCCGATTTTGTGTGTATTAGACTTTTTGATGCGTTACGAGAAAGTTAAACGTCCGCACAGTGCCGCGACGACCTGCAGACTGCCCTGGCAATCGGAGTCGACCCAGCCGGTGTATGAACTCCTATTAACATAAATTATCATTGGCGACAGTTACCACTACTACCACCATCACTATACCAACACCCAACCGTCGTCACTGCTGCTTCAATCGACACTGGAAATGCGATAGGGAAAGACCCTGGTTTGTAATTCTCTCCCATTTTTTTTAAGTTTCGCCCATATGACATATATAGAGGGAAAAAAAATTCTATAGCTGAAGAAACAATCAGTTTGTGCTTTGGGAGAAAAAAAATGCTTTCCTCCTTTTTTTACTTTTTACTCTTTTTTCTATTTTCTTCCCTTTAATACTTTTTTTCCTATTTTCTTCCTTTTAATACTTTTTTTCTTATTTTCCTCCTTTTAATACTTTTTTTCTTATTTTCCTCCTTTTAATACTTTTTTTCTTATTTTCCTCCTTTTTATATACTTTTCTTCTTATACTTTCTTTCTTTTTCCTAATGAATTCCTATCGATCATTCTCCCGTTCGTCATAAAATGAAAAGCAGTTTTTTTTTGTCCCTTGGGTAAAATTACCATCGCTCTTAAAGAAATTTTAGAAGCAATTAAATATTGAAAGTAGGTTTACGATTGGATTTTCAGAAGCAAAAATACGCATAGAGAAGAAATTTTTATGGAAGAAGAAAGAAAAGAAATTATTCGCGATGGTTCGGTTTTAGGAAGAATAGAAGATAGAAAAAAGATTAGAAACATTTCTTTCGGAAAACACTAAATAGTCAACCAGGGTTACCAGGAGAATTAGAAAATTACCAAAAAGAAATTAGTTCTCTATGACTAAAAGACGAGACGATGATTCTGAAGGGAGAAAAATAAAATACGCTCCGCCCCTGCTGAGCGCAGGAGTGGGGGCAATGAGTGCGAGAAGGAAGTTCCGTTTCCTCTCTCTTCCACTCATTGCCCCCACTCCACCCAGCTGAATCTCCACTCACTAGAATTATTCTATATGAATTCTAGTGAATATTCTATATAATTTCGCTAGAACGATTCTATAGAATTTCACTAGAACTATTCTATAGAATTTCTACATGAATTCTACTAAATTTTAATGATTTTTAATTAGAAAGAATATAAATTTTGTGAAATAATTTTTTTTTAACATTATATTATTATATGGTTACTACGGAACACGAAAATTTTAGAGAAATTACAAATGATTGCAAAATTCAATTATTTTCAAGAGTAATAAAATTCTTAGCAGAAATTCAATTCTGTTCAAAAATTTTTAAAAATTCTTGTCAAAATTTCAATTATCTTTATAAATAATAAAATTCTTCTCCGAAATTCAATTATTTTTCTAAATAATAAAATTCTTTTTAGGAAATTATAATTATATTCATAAATAGTAAAACTTATAGCAGAATTTCAATTATTTTTAATAAAATTTGTCAAACAAATTCAATTATTTAAAAATTTGTTGATAAAATTCTTTATGAGAATTCAATTATTTAAAAAATTTGTTGATAAAATTCTATATGATAATTCAGTTTTCAGATAAATTTAAATAAATTTGAAAATTCCCAAAAAACAATTTCAAAAATTAATAAAAATAATGGATTTATAGAAAAATTTCAGTTAACGCTAAAAAAAAATTAATTTTGGAGAAATTACAAATGATTTCAAAATTCAATTATATTCATTAGTAATAAAATTCTTAGCTAAAATTCAATTCTGTTCAAAAATTTTTAAAAATTCTTGTCAAAATTTCAATTATCTTTATAAATAATAAAATTCTTCTCCGAAATTCAATTATTTTCAAAAATTTTAATAAAATTCTTGACTGCAATTCAATTATTTTTTTCTAAATAATTAAATTCTTTTTAGAAAATTACAATTATTTTCATAAATAGTAAAACTCATCGCATAATTTCAATTATTTTTAATATAATTTTAATCAAATTCCTCGATAAATGTAATTATTAATATAAATTTTATTAAAATTTTTTTAATGAATTCAATGTACAGAAACATTAAAATAAATTTGAAAATTCTCAAAAAACAATTTTAAAAATTAATAAAAATAATGGATTTATAGAAAAATTTCAGTTAACACTAAAAAAAATTAATTTTTTAGAAATTACAAATGATTTCAAAATTCAATTATATTCACAAGTAATAAAATTCTTAGCTAAAATTCAATTCTGTTCAAAAATTTTTAAAAATTCTTGTCAAAATTTCAATCATCTTTACAAATAATAAAATTCTTCACTGAAATTCAATTATTTTCAAAAATTTTAATAAAATTCTTGACTGGAATTCAATTATTTTTCTAAATAATAAAATTCTTTTTAGGAAATTAATTATTTTCATAATTAGTAAAACTCATAGCAGAGTTTCAATTATTTTTAATCAAATTTTAATCAAATTCCTCAATAAATGTAATTATTATTAAAAATTTTGTTCAATTTCGTCAAACGAATTCAATTATTTAAAAATTTGTTGATAAAATTCTTTATGAGAATTAAATTTTATAGGAATTTTCAAATAAATTTGAAAATTCTCAAAGAACAATTTCAAAAATTAATAAAAATAATGGATTTATAGAAAAATTTCAGTTAACACTAAAAAAAATGTAATTTTGGAGAAGTTACAAATTATTGCAGAAATTCAATTATTTTCAAGAGTAATAAAATCCTTCGCAGAAATTTAATTATGTTAAAAATAGTAAAATTCTACTTAGGAATTCAATTATTTTCATAAATAGTAAAACTCAATGCAGAATTTCAATTGAGGGCGTTGAACGGATAATAATTGCCTGCAATGCATGGTCGAAAGGGAGTATACCAGTCAGACATCAGTGAGAGGCCTAGAGGCGCTCACTATTGTCTGACTGGTATAGTCCCTTTCGACCATGCGTTGCAGGCAGTTATCCGTTCCACGCCCTCAATTATTTTAAATACAATTTTAACCTAGTTTCTCGGAAAATGTAATTATTCTTAAAAATTTTATTAAAAATCGTGGAAAGAATTAAATTATTTAAAAATATGTTGGTAAAATGCTTTATGAGAATTTTGAATTTTGAGTTTTAAGAAACATTCAATTTGTTCAATAAACTATTTTTTTTGTATTTAAATAATTGAATTCTAGTAGAATTTTCTGATAAAAATTGATTTTCATTTCATAAAAATGAATTTCAGTTAAGATTTTAGATAATAATTGAATTTTGAAAGAAATACCTACAGCGTGAATTTTTAGAAATAATTGAATTTTGAATTTATTTTTTTTTTGAAAAAGTATAATTAAATTTTTTTTATATTATTTAAAGTTTTTATTATGTAATATATATTTAATTGAAGAATTGACGAATAGTTTAAATTTTATAAAATTGAATATTGTAAATAAATGGATTTTGAAAATTGTAAAAGAACTTTTTTGAAAATTAATTGATTTAAAGAAAACTTTTATTGAAAAATTCTTAAAAATAATAATTGAATTGAAATGATGAAAATAATTTTGAAGAAGTACAATATTCTTATATAATATAAAATAATAATTTTATCAATTTGCCACTTTTAATTATTTTAAAATTTTAAAAACATGCAGAAATCGATCACTTCTACTTTTTTTTTACTTTTTAAGTTTAGATTCTGTTTAATTAAAAATCATTGAAATTTAGTAGAAATTGCATAGAATCGTTCTAGTGCTTATCGGAAGATAAGCAAAACACTGGATAATTTGAATTTTTTTACGTTCCTTTAGATTCATTTTATCGAGGGTGGACTGAATGTTAAGTAGATAAATCCAAGAATAGACAGAATAGAAAAATAAGCAAAATAGACAGAACAGGAAAATAAACAAAATAGACAGAATAGAAAACTAAACAAAATAGACAATAGAATAGAAAAATAATGAAAATAGAATATGGAAAAATGGACAAAGTCGAGACAGAATTTATAGAAAATAACCTTGAACTTAAAGACACTTTAAATGTGAATGCGAAAGCCATCAGTGACACGTTTTCGAAGATTGCAATGTCATCACCTTTTCTTCCATTTATTACACACACGTATAGTCTTATGTACATTATGTAACGTTATTTCTTTACATATATTCGCTCACAGTTATAATCGTCTTTTTTCCCTTCTCGTTCTTATTATGAAGCTGCAACATGCATTTACGATTTAACAGGAGAAATAATAACTGGATATTGATGAGAAAGCGGTTTAACCATCACATGGTGTCTATATTTATATAATGTGATGTTTATATAATGTATAATGTATTTCTGGAGTGGATATAATATCCATGTTACATTGTGGATACTAATTCTTTCGGTGAATGTTTAACAAATATGAATATTATTAATAAATTAATTTAAATACAAAAATTTTATGTTACAATAGAAGAAGCTGAAACTGACACCCGCACACAGGAAAAAAGAAGTGTTATTTTAACACTAAAAGTAGTGTTAAAACAACATGCAACATTTTTAACCGACACTGTGTGATTTTAACACTTCATCGGTGTTAAAATAACACTAGAGTGTGTTAAATTAACACCAGAGGGTGTTAAATTAATATACATTTTTAATGGGGTTAAAATAACACAAAAATTATGTTAAAACAACACAATCTGAAAAGTACACGCAACAAATTTAACACATATTTTTTTCTGTGGCAGTCATCACTTAATTTTTCCAAATTTTATGTTAGCTTTAAACTAAAAAATTAAACTGAAACTGGCACTTAGTTATCAATGAGAGCAGTTAATTTTTCCAAATTAAATTTAAAGCAACATTAGTTGCTTTAAAGCAAAATCTATAGAAATCCCTAAGATATCTATAACAATATGCAAAAGATATCTAGGGATGTCCTGAAAAAAACATTCCAGAGATGTTCAGGGACATCCGAGAGACATCCCTAAAATATTTGTGGATATTCGACAGAAAAAATCCCAGAACTGTTGTGGAACAGCCGATAGATATCCTAATTTCCATGAACCGATGATTTTCTATAGTAGATCCTGACTATGCAGATGGTAATATGTTAATGTTCTATTAAAAAATTATTTTACCCACTTTTTTCGAACATATCCGCAGTATTAAATGTACCATTTCTTGGTACACTTCTGCCAGCATTACCTACTTAATGTATATTGGAAACAGAAAATTTTTTTCTTGAA